ATTTGTCCTTCCTTCTTAGTTTTAACTCCTGATTTTTTAAGTTACAAAGAAACCGCTTTCCTTCAAAGATTTGTCAGAGCCTGTAGTGAACAAAACAGGATTTATAAATGGAACTATATGACTATCTAAATGAGCGTACTAAGAGGAACAAATATGTGGTCTGTCTCTGGCCACCAAGTGGGTGAAAAATTTCTAACTCACAACATGAGATGCATCATACTGCGTCATGACCCAGTCCATCTAGGTCAATGTTCTCTCTCTGACACGGCATCAGGAGACATTTTGGGAGAAGCACTGCTGTTCTTCATGACACTGAAGATATACTACACATATTTTTTCATATCTTAATAATAAAAATGAGGGACTTGAAAACCTCTAAGGCACCTTCTGACTCCAAAGCCTCAATAGAAGTATGGAGCTAGAATTCATGAATTTCTCTATATCCTTCTTAAAGCTACTTACACATTTTAAGCAATGAGATACACAGCCTTCTATGGTATAAAATAGTATCTTAGCAGTGTTAAGGGACACTAAAGATTTTAGTATTTTGGAGTCTGGTGAATAAATTTATATTAGCTTTCATAACAATATAAGACTAAATTGAGTCAAATTCAACATTCTGTTTCCAAAGAATATGGAAGATCATAGTGTCCCTGAAGATGCCAACTTCAAGTTGTTCTGAACATGCTATAATATATTCCTGGGTTTCTTCATAATTTAAGAACTCTGTTCCAATCTTTCATCAGCCTTTATCTTTATAGACTGAAGAGTTCAAATTATTCAAGTCAGTAACATTTATTCTAAATTCTTAAATGAGACAGACTTCCCTACAAAATTTTCCCAGTCTTATGCTTACAATTTTAATTTTCACCACTTTTTATAAATAAGACATTTCCTATCTAGGAAACTTTCACTACAGTAGCAGTTGACTGACTCAGAACTGCAAAACATTAGAACTAAAGGGAACTAAGAGTTTAATTGCAACTTTCTACTTTACCAATGAGGAAACTGAGACTTAGTGTTGATAAGAGACTTTCCTATAGTGAAACAACTAAAAACCTAAGCTGGATACAACAAAACAGTACTTAAAAAAATTTTTTTTTAATGTTTATTCATTTTTGAGAGACAGAATAAAGCATGAGCTGGAGGGGGGCTGAAAGAGAGGGAGACAGAATCCAAAGCAGGCTCTAGGCTCTGAGCTGTCAGCATAGAGCCCAATGTGGGGCTCGAACTCACTGACCGCTAGATCATGACCTGAGTCAAAGTCAGATGCTTAACCGACTGAGCCACCCAGGCGCTCCAAGAGTACTTTTTTTTAAAAAAAATTTTTTTTTTTTCAACACTTATTTATTTTTGGGACAGAGAGAGACAGAGCATGAACGGGGGAGGGGCAGAGAGAGAGGGAGACACAGAATCGGAAACAGGCTCCAGGCTCTGAGCCATCAGCCCAGAGCCTGACGCGGGGCTCGAACTCACGGACCGCGAGATCGTGACCTGGCTGAAGTCGGATGCTTAACCGACTGCGCCACCCAGGCGCCCCTCCAAGAGTACTTTTAAAACTGCATATTAGGATTTTAAAACTGCATATTAGAATTGACCAACCAATTAAGTGGATTGCTATCAGCATTTAAAAACAAAAACAAAAAAAAGCAACAGAGTAGGAGCACCTGAATGGCTCATGCAACTGGGCTTCTGCCTCTTGACTTCAGTGCAGGTCATGATTCCGAGGTCATGGAATGGAGCCTGCATTTGCTTCTGCCCTGACAGCACAGCCTGCTTGGGATTCTCTTTCTCCCTTTCTCTCTACCCCTCCCCTGCTTGTTCTCTTTCTCGCAAAATAAATAAATAAACGTTAAAAGGAAAAAAGCAATAGAGTAGAAAGTATCAGGCTGTTCAAGTAATGAGGATAAATATCATTTTATAAAACTTTGTTTCAGTTACATGTGTATTGAATCATAACATAAAATATACTTATAGTGGTCAAAAATTTTGGAAATCATTGCAATAAAATACTCAATTCTTTGAGTGGGTTTAAAATTTTGCTCTTATTTTTAAAATTTAAAATTGCTTAATAATTATTAATATCAATAAAATAAAATCAACAATAAAACAATTATGATTATGATTTAATTATGAAGGTGATGCAAGTTATTATGATGATGGCTTACTTTAAGCTAATTAAAAACATCTCTGCCATACTAAATGCTGCCATTTAAAAGAAACCATTTTTCCCCTTTAAAGGAGATAGGTTTTGAAGTGTTATACCCCATACTATATGAGAAGAGACTTTCTTTAAAAGTCATATTTCTGGGGGCGCCTGGGTGGCTCAGTCGGTTGAGCAGCCGACTTCAGCTCAGGTCATGTTCTCGCAGCCCGTGAGTTCGAGCCCCGCGTCGGGCTCTGTGCTGACAGCTCAGAGCCTGGATCCTGTTTCGGATTCTGTGTCTCCCTCTCTCTGACCCTCTCCCGTTCATGCTCTGTCTCTCTCTGTCTCAAAAATAAATAAACGTTAAAAAAAGAAAATTAAAAAAAAAAAAGTCACATTTCTGTAGAGCTTATATGTGCAACAGCTAGAAAAGCTCTTTAAAATAATATGAATTCTAGAATTTTGATCATTAGAACACATAAAATATAATAAACATCCTCTGAAGACACAGTGACCTCTAGTGGATTCATGAAATAAACCGACATAATTCATGCCCATAAGAATTTATAAATTAAAGTAACATGCAACCAAATATAAAAGATACTAATATGATTATATACTGACAAGTATTACACATAAATAAGGGCTACAGTTAATACTATGTACATTGTGACAAATGTTTATTTATAGATTATTGGTTACTTCAAATCAAAGAGAAATATAATAGAATCCTAGCAACGTTCAGAACCTATCACAAGCTTAAGAAATATATTTAATTTTTCTGAGATTGTTTGATAAAGATGTTAGATTAAATTGTTTCTAAGGACCTTTCAGCTCTTTAATTATGATCCTTTCTTCTTTAACTCATCTTGTACATCAATGTCAGATCAAATTCTGTTCAAAAGTGTTTGATGGCTCCCCAATACTTGTCCCCATTAGAATAAGTACAAATTTGTTTCACTTGTATATTTATTATGCCATCCAATTAAAATTTCAATTTAAACTCATAGGTTGAGTTTCATTAAGTGTGTGTGTGTGCTCGTACAGGTATGGACAGCCTGCCAGTACTAAGCACTTACTACAAACATTGCATGTAAATTAAAATGGTTTTTTGAGGGAAACCAAAGCCATTTTCATTTTTCTTTTTTGGTGAGGTAGGGAAGGGCATATAGATAAGGTAGAATTTCAAGAACTACAAATAAAGTGACAGACCTTCATGTTCTAGGAAAGGTGGGTATTATGAACATATTAGAATAAGATTTTAGAAAAAGGTTAGAGAGAAGAACTATTTTCAATTAGCTAAAGCAAGTACCAATAACTACATCTGAAGAATATAAAGATGACAGGAAGGGTAGTTTGGTAAATGGTTTTGAAGCAGGGATGAGGATGAGCTAAAGTAGCAAGTAGAGAAGATATCACTGGAAACAAAGTTAGGGATAACTTAAGGAAACAGTGGTCTTAACAGCTGGGGAATAGAATACAGCAATATGTGTAGCTGTCATAAGGTTGAAAAGGCGATGAGCAGATCTAGCAAAAGAAATGCTAGGAAAGGAGAAAAAAGGGATGCCCGGGTGGCTTAGTCAGTTGAGTGTCTGACTCCTGATTTCAGCTCAGGTCATGATCCCAGGGTCATGAGATCAAGCCACATGTCAGGCTCCACACTCATCAGTGAAGTGTGCTTCATATTCTTTCTCTCCCTCTCTCTCTCTGCCCCTCTCCCCACTTGCGCTCTCTTTCTCTAAAGGAGAGTAAAAGAGACAAAAAGTGATAGTTAAGAAAGTGCTCGTAGCTCCCCATTCACCTTGGACAATGCTACAACCTTTATTCTTCAAATAAGAAAGGCTAGTGGAGAAATAGTGAACAATTTAGTCTTCACTATGTGTAATACAATTAACAAAGGCTATAGGGTGGTATGTTTTACATATTCTAAACCACACAGCATTGGATCTGCAGGCAAAGGTGTCAGCCAACAAAGGGACTGTCATCAGTACATATGATGCTAGTTCAAACTACAGTGGTTTCATACTACCTTGTGCATCAGATAAGACTTTAATAAGAGGTGTTTTTTTTTTTAAGGCAAATATCTTTAGTTACCTTGCATCACATTACATTTATGTCACTAAGTTTATTTAGCACTGATACTATTTTACCACAAATAACACTGCCTTGTGTTATAATATTCTTTATGAAGCATGAGTTGAGACCTTATCTCATTTAAGCTTGTCTGAATTTAGACAATACAGTTTGATTACATAACAATTTTTGTTACCTTTACTGTATTATGGCATTTGTCCCTCAATAATAAATTTTCTCTCAAATTCAGCAACTACTAAAATGTTGTAAATGTTTAAACATTTCCCAAATGGCAAACCCCAGGAATATTCATAAACATTTTGCTAAAAATTAAATTGGATTTCTTTAAATTTATAAAATACTGTACTGATTTTTAATAAAGATTGAATGAATTAGTTACCTGAACTTTTTAACCTTAGTACATAGTTTTCTAACAACAAAACAAGTTCAGTGGATCCTCAGTTTTAGTATCCTGAAAAACTTTAACATTCTTACTCTAGAATTATAATATTAATAGGGTTAATAGAAATAACTTGCATAGCAGAAAGCAAAGTTCAGGTGTTGTGATTAAAACAACAAAGAAACAACTTTTATATTTACTTTCTGATTTTGAGTGTAAAATCCTTAATAACTAAGCTAAAAATATAACCATTTCTCCACAATGAAAATGTGTATGATGGTAACATTCTTAGGAAACTACAACTACTCTCTATACATCCCAAAAAGTAGAAAGAAATTATTGGAATATATGAACAAATGTATATGTAATGATTTAAATTACCTTTCCTCTTCTCGAACCCATACTGGAGTTTTAGGAATTTGTGCTTCAAAAAACTTAGATGCTTTGTAACAAAAATTGCTGCAAAAACACTGAAAAACATTTTAAAATCAGAAAATTATTTTTTTCTTACTGTGAAACACAACTAACTTATGTACAGAAGAGAGTATAAAACATAAACATGTAGTTCAAAGAAAATAATGAAAACCCATGAATCTACCAACCAAGGTAAGAATAAGGTATAGTACCTTCGAAGCTCTATTATGTGTCCATCCTGGATAGCATCACTTTCGACATTCCCCAGAGGTAACCACTATCATATTCTGTGTTCCTTATTCCCTTGCTTTCCTTTAGTTTTGCTATCTATAGAAACATCCCTACAAAAGATACCATTTAGTTTCAACCAATTTCAAACTTTGTCTGAATGTAATCATACTGTTATGTTCTCTGAGTTTTTTGTTCCAAGTTATAGTTTTCAGATTTTTGTAGTTGTGGCTTATATATACATTACATTCAATTGTGTAAGTATATTACCATTTATTATGAATAATTGAGTTGTTTCTAACTTTTCTGTTATCTCTACAATGTGACTATAAGCACTTTAAGAATTTTTAAAATTAAAAAAAATTGTGGTCAAATACACCAAAATTTACCATCTAAATTGTTTTTAAGTGTTACAGTTCAGCGGCATTAAACACCTTCTCACCGTAGTACAACCATTACCATGATCCATCTCTAGAACTCTTTTTATCTTGCAAAACTGAAACTGTACACCCATTAGACAATAACTTATTTCTGCCTCCTCTTATAATCTCCATTCTACATTCATAACTATGTATCTGACTACTCTAGTTACCTCATGTAAGTGGGATCATTTAATATTTGTCCTTTTGTGCAGGCTTATTTCACTTAGCATCATGTCTTCAATGTTTATCCATGTTGTAGCATGTGTCGGTATTTCCTTCCTTAAAAAGGTTGAATGATAGTATATTATATATTTTGTTAATCCAACTAGGAAGAAATGGGCAAGAAATTCTTTAAAATATATACCAAGAATAGAAAAGCCTGGTCATAAAAAATGTGTGAACTTGACTTTACTAGATTATACCAAAGAAGTTCTCAAAAAAGTTGCACCAATTTTATTTAACCAGCAGTTAAAGAGTTTCTAATATTGTCAAATTTTTATAATTTTGCTAATTTGGAGACTGTAAATCAATGTTTTTATTTGCTTTTCCCCTGAAGGCTGAGCATCTTCTCATATTTCATTATCAAGTTCCTTCTATAAAATTTCTACAAGGTTTTCTGTCTTTTCCTGGTTATGAATCTTTAGTCAGTTATATGTGAGAAATACATTTCCTTCTAATTTATCTCATCTTTTCACTCTTTTGTGGAAACTTCCAATAAGCAAATGTTTTTAATTTTAATGTAGAAAACATCAATTTTTCCTCTATGGTCTGTAATATTTCTATCTTATTTAAGAAATTCTCTGAGTTTATAAAGATACTTTCCCATATTCTCTTCAAAAAGATGTTTATCTTTTAAATTTAAGTCTGTAGCCTACCTAAAATTGATTTTTTTTATGTACACTGAAATAAGGATCAATTTCCATTTTTTTCCATATGGATAACTACTTCTGTCAGTACTATTTTTTAAAAAAAATCATCCTTTCTCTACTGATCTACAATACTCCTGTTGTCACATATAGTGTCCTCATATGTGGTTAATCTGTTTCTGGCTCTCTATTCTATTCCATGACTTACTTGCCTGAATTTGTGCCGGTATACACTTTTAATTTTTAAACGTCCAAATATTAATTAAAGCATAAGCAGTTTTTTCTAACACCTTGAAGGCAATATTCACAAATAAACTTTTAACATGACAACCATCTAAAAGGCAAACTTCTTTTTTATTTATTTATTTATTTATTTATTTATTTTTTATGTATGAGTATTTTTATTGAAGTATATTTTTTTTATTTATTTATATATGAAATTTATTGTCAAATTGGTTTCCATACAACACCCAGTGCTCATCCCAAAAGGTGCCCTCCTCAATACCCATCACCCCCCCCCCC